CAGCATTTAAACAAGTTTCCGCTTCTCCAACGCTGCCCCACTTCTCTGAGACTCGATTCGTTTTGCTCACTTTGTCTAAGCTCTAGAGCGCGGAAACTTCTCGTCCCCGCACACCTCATCAACGCAGCTCCGCAAACAGCGTTCGGGAAATCCTGCTTTAAGCGGGGAACAATTTCAGGAAACTGCGTGGTTTATTCCCCCTGCAGGTAAATCCCGGGGCTCGGCTTCCCCCTACCGGGACTGGACTGGACTGTCCCTCAGGTGCCCGCCCCCGGACTCTACGGGGGCTTTTTCCTCCGAGCCCAGGGCTGGCCGGGCGGGGGCCTGGGGCCGAGCCACCCCCATTGGCCGCCCCCGCTTTGCAGTGACGTCCCGCGTCCCGCGACAGGGCGGCCGGGCGCCCCCCGGCGGCCGGACTCACCCGCAGAACATGAGGATGTTGTAGAGCGCGGGCTCGTCGGCGAAGGGCGCCATCTGCTGCAGGCACAGCTGCTCGCAGCCGCCGTTGAAGCCGTCGGAACAGTCCACCCCGACGTGGCGGTCGTAGCAGCCCGAGCCGTCCTTCATGGGGCTGAGTCCGGACGGGCACTGGCACAAGCAGAAAGCAGCCGCACAGGTGGGTGAGCCGGGGCGCTGAGTGCTCTGGGACCCGGGGTGTCCTCACCGACCCGGTTCCTAACGCTCAGCCCGGACACTGCGCCGAGCGCGCCGCGGGTCTCCCACCACGCTAGGCTCCCCTTAAAAGCAAGTGACCTTTCTCGACATCTTGCTGCTTCTCTCTGGGCACGAATCGCAAACACCTGCATTAAAGCCACGTCCTCCAAAAGGGCTGGGAGGGGCGCTGCAGCCGGGCGGAGCCGAGTCGTGCGGCCTCCCGACTGCGCCTCCGGCTGGCGGAGGGTGGAAGGGACGGGCCGGAGTTGAACCGCACGGGCAGAGACGCCTCTGGGCTGGGGGAGGGCAGTGCTGCTGCTGGCCTTAGTATTAAGAGGACTTCTTAAGTGTCCACAGCACTTTGTCAGCACTCATACCAAACGGCCGTGTCAGAGGGAGTGGGCCAAGCCAGGGATTCCGGCCTGAGGGAGGACATGGACTTTCTCGTGACCTGGAGAGGGGCTGGACCACTCTCACGACGGGAGCAGCTGCACCCATCGCCGTCCTGTGTCCAGATGCCCTTTGGAAGGCACACAGACAAGACCACCTGCTACACCAGCACCCACAGGTGCTACACCAGCACCCACAGGTGCTGCACCTGGGTTGGAGCTGGACACTCTTAACGTGAAGTATTGAGCTTCACGGCACTACCTTGTCCTCGATAAGCTCCCCCGGGAATGACAGCAAAAAGGAAACTCTAGGAGGAGATGCCCCATCGTGGGGAAGGCAGAGGGGATCGGTGAATAACAGCAGTGCTTGCGCAGCACCCGTGACACGCCGGGCAGTGGTCTAACTCAGTCTCTAGCTTGTGTAACCCTCACAACACCCCTAGGAGCTAAGCAGTGTGATCATCCCCATTTTACACATGAGGAAACTGAGGCACAGAGCGTTTAAACATTCCTAAAGTCACACAGCTGCTCCGGGCAGGACGACACCTGAAACGCTGGCAGGCTGGCTGTGGAATCCATCATCAGCTCCCGCCACATCCGGCTCCTACCCAGCAGTCAGCGTTCACTGAGCACGTGCTAGGAGCTGGGCACTGGGCTAAGTGCTTTAAGTTTCTTGTCTCGCAACACCCTATAGTATCCCTGTTTATTGATAAGGAACCATTAACATTGCCAAATAACGCATAAACTCCTTGCTGCCCTGGGCTCCACTTAAAAGCTGATGACTTTTTCTTCTTATTATTTTTTTGCCATCCTTCTCCTCTGCCAGTGCAACAGATTCTGCACATTTGCACGAGAGCTGATCCCTTCAAACATGCTAGAAGGGGGCAAATAACTTGCCCAAGGTCAAGCGGCCAGACCGTGGCAGAGCTGGGGGTTTGTCCAGATCTGACTCCAATGCCGCCGAGACTTTTAATGACTGCTGTACTATACCGTCAGCTAGCTAACACCCTCCTCCAAAAGCAAAAACAAACCAAAACAAAACTTTCAAAACTCAGTGGAATGCAGTATGAAACATTTCCTCCCCCTGCAGCCTGGCTTGCTCTTCCCCTGTGCTGGCAAGCACCTTGGCCTAGTAGCCCAGAGCCGCCACAGGTGTGCCTCCGAATCCCACCTCTTCTCCCTCCTCCTTTCCCAGTCAAGAGCACAGCAGGACATGCACTGTTTGCTAACACTAATTCTGCAATTTCCCAAACAAATGGCCCCCTGTGGGCCTTCCAGGCTCCCCGCCTGGCCCATCCCCCTCTCTCCCCATGAAGGCAGCCAGAGTGCTGGAAGGTGACAGCAGTTGAAGAAGTTTCCAAGGGCTGCCCGTGCTGTGCGAGCCCAGATGCACCAGATGATGGTAAACAAGCAAATGAGGCAGCTGAGAACTGCACCCCATGTTTTGTCAGCCCCCTACCCACCAGATTCCTTGGCCACCCAGCTGTTAGGCCAGATGTGCCACCAGAAGGGAGCTGGCTTCAGCACTATGTGACTGCCCAGGCATGGATACGGGTACTAAACACAGAAAACTGAAAGTTTGATTGGAATTACATGGGCTGCACTGGTTGCCATGAGTTGTTTTTTGTTGTTGTTGTTGTGTTTGTTTGTTTTTTCCTTCTGTAAAGCTTGCTAGAAGCCATCAAGCAGATAAAGCCAGTCCTCTTATTATCCCCACCCCACGCGGTGGTTTCACCCATTGTACCCGCTAGCTATCTCAGGCACCAGCCCAGACTGTTCATGTTCCCAACCACCTGCTTTTTTTTCAGAATGGTCCTTCAAGCATGACTTCTGACAAAGACTTCACCAAATGAAACATGAGCAGGCTTTGTTCCAGAATTCCAAAATCTGGCATATCCATATCTTGCCTCGCCCTAATGTCTAGATGACCATTGCTATCCCAAATTGGACTACCTAAAATTCACCCTCTCTTAGGAGATTTGGAGAAAAGACAGAGTTAGCTGCCTTGTCCAAGTTGAATTTTTTTTTCTTACCAGCAAAGCTAAAAATAATAACACCTATGAGGAATTTAGCAATTCTTTGTGCAGGACAGTCTACATATATTATCTTCAATCCCAGCAACACAGGGACACTTTATCTTTCCCATTTTACAGATGAGCAAAATTAGGCTTAGAAAGACCAAGTAACTTGTTCAGTGTCACAGTGGTGGAAAATGGCACCATCAGACTTTGGGCCTAGACTGTCTGACCCTTTGGTTGTGTGTGTTCCTCCCATTCTGCCGTGCGGCTTCTCCAGTGCTGTACAACCTGCGTTCATTGGAATCCCTAAAGAGATAAAGTCAGTGTGTCAACTAGGTAAAGCAATCCCATAGACTCATTTGTTTGATTGTTTTAAGCAATTCCCAGAGTATATTCTGGGGTCAATTATGGATTTGAAGATTCAGCTTAGCATTTTCTCTCTCTCTCTCTGTCCCCTTTTACGAACACACAGAACACTACAAGTGCAAGTATTTTAGAACAGAACACTGCAAATTGTCCAGAGTGATGACCTTAAAGGCAAGTTGAGATCCTCAATCACTGAAAAAGATGCAATTATCTTTACTGCACTATAACTTACTTGGGCTGCAATTCGGAGTAAAACATTTTACAAAGACTTCCAGAAAAAAAAAGGCTAAAACCAAAAATAGAATTTTCTTCTTAATCCTTGGCAACCAGAACACCCAATTCTCCAAGGAGTTAATCAATCAAGGTTCCTATGGTATGAATTTGTATTGTTTTTTGCCTGAATCTTCCTTCCGATATGTTGACACGATGGGTTCCCTCAAAATCCGCATCTAAATATAAAGAAGCCACAGTCTCCAAACCATGCCACTCCTCCTAGAAGTATTTTCAGCCAGAGCCCTGTTGTCAGGAAGAAATCCTGCCTTCAGGAGAAGCTTGCCCTTTCTGTGCAAGGGCCAGATGTTCTTCTCTCCTGACTGTGGACAATCCTTCCACTTGTTTCTTGAAAGAGAACTGTTTGTTCAGGAGAGAGCCCAAGGTCATATATTAACCCCCCTTTGCAGAGGTTACATGAAGCAGTCCCAGGGACTTTACAAACTACAGGCTTAAGAAGAAAACTCCATTTATTACGGCAACAACTCTCCCCCATCAAGAAGGTCTAATAAATGAGCTCGTATTTCAGTGACCTCTAAAATACACAAGGTTAATCATCTTTCATGAGATGTTCATGGCTTCTTGACTTATTACTGGTCTCAGGTATAATTTGCTAATGAGATTAAAATTATTTTTCCCATTCGACTCCTTTTCTTTGTCATCCTTCCCCTCTTTTCTACCAATGGTTTTAGGTTGATTAATTGCTTAGGAGGCTAATCAAATCTCGCTAAGTCTGAGACACACAGACCTCAGCTCCAGATTATGGAATGGATGCCCTATTGGCAGACGGATGGAATGCTGGACTCATGAGCACATTCAGGGCCCTGAGAGAAGAGGGACAAACGCCTGCAGCTGAGCCCGCCTCGCTTTACCTGGATGATTCATAAGACACGCAACTGTAATTCCTGCTCCAAACAGGTTCTCTTTTACTAGATGGCAATCTTATTCCTTTCACAAATAATGATTTCCAAACTTTCTGATGGGCTCTGACATGCAGGCCGGAGCCATTCAGGACTGCTTCTCCCAGGGGAAAAGTTTGATGGAGTTAAATCTATATTTCAGGCTGTGAGAGCTTCCTGCCCCTATTTTTCTGGAAGCCTCTGAGGCATATTCTTCTACTTACTGTCCTACAGAGAGAAAGAGAGATGGTCATTTGTAATGGCCTCCACACATCTGTGCTCCAGTAGAGGTGAAATGACACATTTCACGGGAAACCATTGTGGACAGCATGTGGAGGGAAGGGCGGAGGGTCATTGGACAATTCAAAGCTCATTAGAGCATAATGTCCAGCAAGGAAGGTCATGTGTTCAATGCACGAGGAAGCAGGCAGCGACCCTCCCTGCTCCATGGCACAGCCCGCTTACCTAAGGACATTCAGGCATCTTATAGAGCACAGGCTTTCTTGTGTGTGTGTGTGTGTGTGTGTGTGTGTGTGTGTGTGTGTGTGTGTGCGCGCGCACACGCATCACATTAGAAATCATTTTCAAAGTTTCAAACACCATTTTATGTTAAGGCTCAACAGGTAGGCTTGATAAGAATGAAGATGCTCTGGCTGAAGCTCCCAGCAAGCTTGGAGTCCTGCCTGCCAAGTCTGCTCCAAGCCCCACTGCCATCCCCCGTGGAGGGTTCCCCAAAGATGTCCAAGACACAATCCTAGACACCTATGGACATGTCACCTCACGTGGGAAAAGGGACTTTGCATATGAAACTAAGTTAAGCACCTTGACGTGGGGAGACTGTCTTGGATTATCTAGATGGGCCCAATGTAATCACAAGAGTCCTTTAAAAGTGGAAAAGGGAGGCCCAGTTGGAGAGAGAGAAGGAGATGTGCCACAAAAATTATCAGAAAAATGCACTGTTGCTGGCTGTACAGGTGGAGGAAGGGGGCTATGAGCCAAGAAACTTGGGCGCACTCTAAAACCTGGAAGAGGCAAGGGAAGGGATTTCCTCTAGAGCCTCCAGAAGGGCATGCAGCCCTGGTGACACCTTGGTTTGAGCCCAGTGAGACCCACATAAGATTCTCATCTACAGAATTGTGAGATAATGAATTTGTGTAGCTTTGAGCACTAAGTTTATGGTACTTTGTTACAGCAGCAGTAAGATAACACAGCACCGTGGAAGGGCCCCACGGGGCTCTACAGAACAGGGAGCAGCTGCTCTCGTGCTTCATGGGAGGGCACCACAGCTCCCACCCTGCACATGAGGACAACGAGTAAGATTTGGGCACCAGCGGTGAGGGGCTGACCTCTGCTCTGGGAACCCTCCTGAAATGTCCGCAATCTCCAGCTGTTGGAGAGTGGTCTGGTTTGGAACGGTGTGATTGGGGTATGTACAGGTCTGTGCCTTTCACGGATATTTGTTTCCTGTCCTCAGAGACTATATAAACAACAGGGTAATTAACTGGGTAGCAATTAACCCTGTGGGAGTCCATGCATAACTGAGAAACGTGCCCTGCTTCCTAGAAAGAATCAAAGTTGAGCAGTGATGGGGACCGAATGTGAATGCGACCTGTCTGGTTAGAATCGTCAGGAAAATATACAGGTACACGCTCTGTCTCTGCCCCTTTCTCAGGTTCCTAAGGGCCAGCGTGTTCTAGTTTCTCATCTTTTTCTCCTTTCAGAAAAATATACCTATCTTGGGAAGCCTTCCGGTTCAGCACCAAGAAGACTGAGTGTGAGGGTTTACGTGGAGAGGAGGCCAGGCCAGTTCTTAAACTGCAGCCAGTGCAGCTGATGCCTGTGTCCCTGGTCCACTTCCAGATGACAAAGGACCACTTTGCTAATAGACCAGGGCTTTGGGACAGTGCTAAAGCCCACAGGAGTCAGGTCAGGCTCAAAGTTCGTCTCTGGTCTTCTCAGCAGGGTGACAGGGTCACGATGGGATGCATCGCCTCTCACTCGTCGTCTTCCTGCCCCAGGGATCACATGCTCCACAGCCAATGAGGAACAGTGAATCGAGCGTGTCTGCCAATCCGCCAGCTGCCTCCCTCTTCAGGAGCCACGTGGACCAGTGACTTCAAAGTATTATGCTAATGCCAAGTGCTGTTATAATTGGGTGACTTTCTGCAGCGGCTCCAATTCTAAAATGCAGCAGCCTCATTGCCAATGCATATTCATCAGAACTATTCTTGCTAGCTCTGTCTCACAGATCACAGTGTTAAAAGTACAAAATCCATCAGCACAGCGATGTGCCAAGCAAAAAGGGCTAGGATCACCAACAGAAGGCATCTGTCGGGCAAGCCCTGAGGGGCTCAGAAAGGGGCAGAGAAATGGCAAGAGAGGGAGAGTCTATCCCTGGGTGTGTGCGTGTGAATGTGTGTACATGTCAAAACTCACATGGGGGTGGTTCACACACATGTGCACACAGTGTGTCGGTACTTAGAATGACCCCAGAGAGTCATGGGAAATGAAAGGTTGGAATCTGAATGAAGAAATGAAGGCTGAATAGTTTTTTTTAAAAAAGTGTCTCAGCTGGGAGCTCCATTAGACAGTTAAATTGTCTCCTGAGAGACCTGGTTGGGAGCTCGTTGCTGAAGACGTGTGAGTGTGGACCCGCCAAAGGGAGGGGAGCCCTGTGGGACATCAGCTTCCCTCCCGGCTGCCTTTGGAAGGCGTGGCCTAAAAGAGCATCTTTCTTTGTATTCTCCTGATTGTTCCCTCTGTTCATCTTGCCCCTCTTCCTACCTACTCTTCATCTCTCTCTCTCTCTTTGCCTTTTCTCATCTTCATTTTCTCTCCCTTCTCAGATGAATCGGGCTCCTGTCGACTGCTGCCTAGTTGGTAACAGCGTGGGGAGGCCTTAGGGCTGGGAGAGTTCCAACCTGGCCCGCAGGTACACAGACCCACCTTTGACCAAGAACAGTTCCCGGACAGAACAGGGGCTCTGGGTTAGAGACGAAGAGAGGTAAAAAGGGTACCGGATCCACAACCTGACAGCTTTCCCCTGCTCTGGATCCCCTCACACAGCACGGCTGTCAGGCTGGGAAGTGTGGCAGGACGCCACATTCTCCCCACAGCTGGAAGCTCCTGGCCCTCCCTGCTGCACTGCAGAACTGATCATCTCCCCTCTTCTCTGCTCGCAATTTTCCTGGTTTCCCTGCTTCCATCTCTGCCCCATTCCCTCTCCTCTCTGGAGGACTGCATCCTTCTGCCCTTTAAAGGAGGCAGGGTTGGAAGGAGACAATAGTGTTAGGGCGTGAGAGGCATGAAAATGGCCAACAGAAAGGAGCCCGCGGCTGAAGGCTGCTTCTGCTCCTGCCTCCATCTACCTGCGTGGTGCCACAGACTCTTCGCATCCAAGACGTAGGCAATGTCCTAGCCCACTCTAGCCCGAGCCCTCTTACTAGTTAATAGCATCGCATGTTTTAAACAGAGCTGATAACAAAGTAGAAACCCACCTTTGGAGAAGCAGGTGCTCACTGCTGTGGTCACAAAGAGAACACATTTTCGTTCTTAATTTTTCTCTACGATTCCTGCAATAACTTACTTCTTTCATCACTCTAGCTTTACATAGGTTTCTCCTACAATTTCCTATTACGTTTCGCATGAATGTCATACTAATAAGCAATTAATTAGTTCTCAGATAGTTCTCATCAACTGTCTTGCAAGACTGGAAAGAAAGAATCATGCTATGTAATTCATGAAATTTCCCTTGGATAGTTATGCTACCCAGAGTAGGTGCTCGTAAGAACTTTTTGATTACGTACTGGTGATTAGCTCCTCATCTCTATCAAGAGAAAAGTCCAAGTTTACGCAGGTGGTGCTGCAAGTGGGGATCATGGCACAGTCTCATCTACACACCTGCATTGTGTCTCACCCTGCGCCTTCCCTCCCCATCCCCCAAACCGACTGGCCCGGCAGGGCAGACCTACCACACAACCGGTAGAGTCCAGCTTGCGATCTGAAATGCAACGGAAATTCTTACTGCAGCCCCCGTTATCTTTGCTGCAGTCCCGCACGGGCCCAAAGGAATCTAAGAGAACCTCCAGGCTGTCGAAAGAGGATGAAGTCATCAGCTCTTCTCTGTGGGGAGAAACAGTGAGAAGCAGGGAGAAGTCAAGAGGCTTACAGAAGCAACCAGTAGCGTCACATTCCACTTTCCTATCTGGTCAGCTGGATCATGTCTCACTCTCCCATATAAAAACTGAAGATCAACCAGACTCCAAGCCTTGAACTAACAAATCATGGGCATTCTCCACATCCAGGAAGTGAGCCAAGACTGTAATGCCCGGTCAAAGAAGGAGGTCAAACCTGGGCAAGGAAATTAACATTTTATTGCCTGTCTGTCCTTAGGGTATGTGGGAAGTGCTTACAAACTCTAATTTTATGTCTTCTTCCAGTGAGTGAGCCTTGGGGTATGCAATATTGACCCAGATAAAGAGCAGATCCTGGCACCACAAGTGGGGACTTTGAAAGCCGCCTGCCAATGTCTGCCTTCAGCTTGCATGATGCCTTTCCCAGCACCTGGAACCTTCGGATCGTATCCTGCTCTGCCTCCCGAGCCCACTGCAGGCCTCAGCCCTGAAGCCAGACTCGCCTGACCTCCCCAGACTCACCTGACCTCCACGGCGTCCTCCATCACGGTCATGTCGGTCTTGCACTTTGCCGACGGGTTGATGGCCAGTTCTGCTGGCGGGATCACAAAGCTCTTGCTGAGGGGCAGCCACATGCCCTCCCCAAGGGTGTAGGTGAATCTGCAGGGACACCAACACCGGTGGTCAGGACTGGGGGCCAACCGCCCCGCTGGGGGGCCCGGCCTTCTCCCCCAGCTGCGTCCACCTCCCGCCAACAGTCCTCTTCAGAAAGGGAGCTGACTGGCATGTTATGGATGTGATGACTGAGTCCCAAGGAGGCAGAGCGGCGGCCTTGCTCACGTGGCCAGACAGCCGGAGAACTGATTATGCTGCCCGCTCACTCGCTGTTAGAAGTGGTTTTGATCAAGTCAGAAAAAGCCAGTTCCAGCTTTCTTCAGATTTGAAGCTGGGCTTCCCCTGTCTTGAGTCAGATATAATTGGAGGCATTTTAATTGAAGAGAGATGCCAGCCTCCCACCGTCCCCATCCCACACTGCAGACCACAGTGGCAGCGATGGCATCTCTCTGTGCCTGGAGGAACCCTAACAAGGAAAAGAAAAGAAAAAAAATTCCCCTTTGTTTGGCTTCTGTGTGATGGGAACAGAAATGACTGAAGTCAGGAGCCTCCGGGGAGGAGAGAAGAGGGGAGGAACATGAACAAAACAGGCCTGGATTTACTCTCTGCACCCCCACCCACACCCTTAGCTAAGGCGATAACCCTTGGAATACAGGGAGGATTTTTTTAAATTCTTATAACAAGGGCTTAAAGGAATAAAAGAATCAATCAACATTTCAAGGGAAAACTTAAGAAAACCATGAGAGATTATTTGTTTGTTTATTCATTCATTTCATTTCAAAGGCATTCAAATGCTCTGTGTTCATAGTCAAAAATAGTCTTGGGATAAAAGCCAGTGTGGGTGGGATATCAGGAGGTTGGCAGTCTGGCATCCCCTCTCTCCTGACTGGGGAAGGACGATTAAAGGGACCCAGGCCCTGGCTCCATCTGCATGCTGGCCACAGAGGCTCTTTCAGAATCCTGCTTCCTTCCCTTCCCTACCCACACACTCCCCTCTAACCTCCACGGGTTGTCAGAGGTGCTAGGAAACCACATTGATGACTTGAGACCTTTTATTTTAAAAAATGCAGCCCTCTCCAGAATGCTGGCCACAGAGCAGACCCACTGAGCGGGGCTCACGAATTGAAGGGCAGCCAAGCCACATGGTTTCCGCCCACGACCTGAAAAAGAGCCTCAGGACGAGAGCAACTGGAAAGGGTGGACAGGTGCCAGCCTGGTGCAGGGGAGTCCAGGGGCAGAGGCAGAGCTATTGGTGAGAGGGATGTGACCAGGATTTGGGGGATTTCTCTCCCATTTCCCACCTGACTCTTGGTCCTCAGCTTCTCTGACCTAGTGGGTGAACCCCTGCATGAAGCAGCATGGAACTGTCAGAGATCCTTCTCGCTTTGAAAGAGGCACTTGAATCTTCCCACCCACAGGGGCACAAGGCAGCAGGCTCTGCAGGGAGGGGCCTGCATCAGGGAAGGAAAGCCCCTTCCTCTGGGGACAAAAGAAGATGAAGACCACCACTTCATTCTTCTGCGAAGCGGTCGGCAAAATTAAAGGCATGACAGCCCCTTCTCTCTCTCTCTCTCTCGCTCTCTCTCTCTCTCTCTCTCTCTCTCACACACACACACACACACACACACACACACACTTCATCTGGTAAGACTAAGAAGCCCACTCAGTGCCAATGATTGCCTCAAGGTGCCTGGAATATGGGACTTAAGGATGGATGTGGGTTGAAGGAAACAACCTCTAAGAATTTGTATGATTTCACTTTGCATTTCATAGTGGACATTCCTGAGATGGGAACATTATAATAAGCAGGCTCTGTGTGTGTGTGTGTGTGTGTGTGTGTGTGTGTGTGTGTGTGTGTGTGTGTGGAGGGGGAACCACTGCTCTTATATTGTTTCAGAGAGAACATCTACATGTTTGAATGGTACCAAGGAGAAGGCAGTTTATTGGATGTAAGAATGAGTTTTTGTTTTCTATTTTGGTTTTAAAATTACAATTTTTGCATTGATGTGGAGCAACAAATCCGTGACCTGTAGTTTATAATTTATGTAACAGGTTTTAGGCAGCTGTTGGCAGTTCTAGCACATTTCTGATGGGTAATTTTTCTTTTGGAAGAGGAGGCTCCATGCCCATCCATCTCCCAGTTTTCCCTTCTTTCTCTGCATACGGTAATATCCCTAAGGGAAAAGCAAGCACACCACATCTTCCCCCAACTTAAACTGCTGCGGCACCCCATGCCTGCAGGACAGAGTTCCACCCTCCAAAGAGGTGAGCCCCCCTTGCCTCAGCTTCTTCTTTTGCCAAACCCTGCTTCTCACTCGGTGCTCCTACAAGGCAACTGACCATAGTTCCTGAAGTCACCCTGATTTTCTCACCTCTTTGCTTTTCCTCCTAAATATTCCTTCTTTGTGGATTTTCTTCCCTTTCTTCTTTGCCTGACTACTCATTTTAAGACATAGTTCAGGCCCCACCCCTTCCAGAAAGTTCCCCCCGCCCCCTTCGTTCTCGACCCTCAGGCTGAGCAAGGGACCCTCCTCTGTGTGCCCTACACAAAGTCCCTTGCTGCTCCTGAGATACTGAATTGTACCTGGAGAATCCGCCACCACTTATAGGAATGTGCACCCTTGGATAGCAGAAGACAGCCCTTTGTCATCTTTGTATCCCCACTGTTAACACAATTTCTGGCCCAGGGAGGTCACTCAGTAAATAAATTGATTGATCACTAAGCAGATGTTGTTGGGTCTATAGCTTGCACAAGATGCTGGAGGCTGCAATCTCAGTGTTCAAACTGAAAGGTGGAAGCAGTGGTGAAGATTGTCCTTCATGTAGAGCAGGACATGGGTTACCCCTGGGTTTAAATGGATTTAAAAGTCAAGATGGATCTGGGTTTGACATTGTGAGGAACTTCCTAAGTGCACAGCAGCTCCTGGGACGCTGCACTGGACCAGTTAACAAGAAAAGCAGTCTCTGGTAGGGTCAAGGCGAATCCCTGTAGAGGAAGTAAGGTTAGGTGTGGGTGAGACTAACCCATACTGAGAACTGTCAGAGGGGCAGGTGCTCTGCAGAGCTGCCTCGTCTGTTCCTACAGCAGCCCTTTGAGGTTGCTTATTTGGCCCCATTTTACCAACTTATCAACTACCATTTTAAGAACATTAGGAACCTCCCCAAGGTCACCCTTCTATAAATGGGAAAATTGGGATTGGACTGTTTTTCAGGTATGGATCGCAGCAGCTTTCGAGCCCATGCTAGCTCAGGCCTATGAAATTCTAAAGTTTTCTTTCATCTGCAAAATCTACTGAGTAACTCCAAAATCCAAATATAGAACAAACTGTCAGAGAAAAGCTGTGTCCTAAAATCTCATCTGTCCCTCATTCATGCAGATTTGGCAGGAACAACTACAAAAAGCCACCCAAGAGAAGCTGGGTGAGTGTCTGGAACGCTTTCCCAAGCTGGGCCTTCTCTTGTGACAGCTGGTGGTGACCAATGCAGTTGATGGCTCAGCTGTGCACTGGGTCCTCCACACGGCCCTATTGAACTGGAGCTTGAAATTTCCGTTCAGAAGGAAACACTCGCCAGAGAGCGCTAGAGTGAGCCTGTGCTGCACCCAGGGCTCGGCACAAAATAGAACGTGGGAAAACCAATGCACAGCTCTTGACCTGGCCTCTACACTCTTTCCCAGAGCAGGCCATGCCAGGACGAGCTATTGTTCCCAGGAATGCAGGTACCCGCTCAGAAGGAAGGTGTCTGAGGGGTCAGTGGGTGGGAGCTGATCCCGTCTACCACAGTCTGGTGGGATGCAGTGGTCCTAGCCACCATGGAAAGGACTTCTTGGACAATGAAATGGGTTTGGTGAGAAGATTCAGTCGGAAGGCTCAGGGTCCTCTTGGACTCTTTGAGTCTAGCTTGGACCATTCCCAGGTTATTTGGGATGGCAGATTACCAATTTTAGTGGGGGCACCTAGGTCTTTTCCTAGCTAGTTTGTTGGGTTCAAGTCCTTAGGAAATACCTGAAAAGATCATCTGTAGATATCTATTGAAGGCCTACAGTATTCAAAATTATATGTTAGATATTAAATATTTAAAGCTGTATAGAATACTACTCCTTCTCTCAAGATAACCATTTCATTGGGAAACAATTTAAAAATAAGTATAAAATAAAATAATTGAAAAATAAATATTATAGTCAGTATGCCATAGACATTTGGAGGAGGAAAAGTCATTGTGGATTGCTGTAGTGGATTGGAGAAGCTTTAGAGCAGTGTTTTTCAATTCTGGCTACAGAGTAGAATCCCCATGGTGCTTTTAGAAAACACTCATGCCCTGGCCACACCTCCCAGAACTTTTCTATTAATTGGTTTGTGCTGGGTAAGATCACTGGTCATTTTTAAAGCACACTGGTGCGTATAGAGGGCCAGGGTTGGAGACCGCTTCCTAGTTGAGACTGTAAATTCTTGAAGTCAAGGACTATATTGGTAATAGTTGTTTGGTCATATCCACAGCATCTAAAACAGTGCCTTGCCATAGTAGGTGCTCAATAGATATTGGGTTTGGGTGAGACTCGGTCTGGACCATGAAAACAGGTAGTATTTATATTAAGAGGAGAATGTGAATTCTTGCTAGAGGAAAGGGTTTGAGCAAATGTGCAGAGTGAAGGATATTCAGGCTGTTGGGGACAGTGGATCAGTTAGAAGTCAGACTGAACTGAGAATGGAAGGTTCCACAGGAGAAGAGCAGCTTATTTAAAGGGAGTTGTATACTGGCATTCAGTGGTGGAAACATTTGAATGTCAGGATTTAAACTTTATTCCATAGTCTAGGAAAATGTGTGGTGGCTTGGAATTCATCAGGACGGTAATTCATGACTGAGCATAGTAGTGAGTAAATAGCTAATTATAGTCACTGAACAGGCCATAGAATTTTCCAGAGTGGCCATTGGTAGGTGATTTACTCAGATTCCAGAGTAGTTTCAGTTAAAGTTCCTAGTACCTAAAATAAGCAGATCATGACCCATTGCTTTCATTTGAGAGACTAGTTTGTTGTCGTGTTAGGGACCAGAATTGTAATGACTTGTTGACTAACCCATTGGCTCCTGAGATAGTTGACCTCATGAGTCGAACCGCACAACTGGTCCCCTGTGTAGTGCATGGGTATCACATCCAGTTGGCAGCCAGTAAATGTGGAGAAAAATGGTGCTTGTGGGGTTGGAAACATAGTCTTTGTGCAGGTTCTATTTTAATAGCCATTTCATTAAGGCCATTGTTTTTCAAAGTGTCAGTTTCTGACTTTTAGGGAGCAGGGAAATTATCCACGTTAATCAGCCAAATTCCACCAGGCTTCCCATCTGCCTTATCTTTATCATCCTCTGAAGGTTCTGGAAGACCAGGAGTAGGAAACTGGGAGAAAAAGTCAGCCAAATAATAAATCATTGTTGGGAAGTTTTAATGTCCAAGTCACAGTCTAAGGAATGTAGCTGACAACTCTTACAGCACAAATCCTCAAAAGCACCCTGCAACCAGTGCCATTAATGTGACCCAGCCTGCCCCGGGAGAGACACTCAGGAAAGAAAAGGGCAAGGGAAGGCCCTCGGAGGAAGTGGTTCTGTAAATCTGCACTAGCTAGGATGCCGTAGGACAACACCACGGTGGCCAAGCCAAGTCCATCCCAAGCTACCAAGAGGAGCAGCAGAAGCTCTGCAGAAGAGTGAGCTCTAGAAAGCAAATGCAGGAGCAAAAATCCAGGAGTGGATGACAGGGGGTGGGCATGGAGTGGGGCTTGAGATGGTGGCAGCGAATATCTGAGACTCAGCAAACCCTGTGGGTGCAGTGAAAAGGGAGCAAGTCTTCCATTTGCTTCCAGCTGCTCACCATTTCTCTGACAAAGGCATGCAGCAGCTGAACTCATCCTTTGCCGTCAGCATGTGAGGGACTGCTCACTTCCTCTACTAGAGGGCTTGCTCATGGAGGCAGATGCATTCACGTCCATACTGCACAGTCTCTGGCACTTAGTAGATACTCAGCAAATGTATGCTAAGTGCAGGACAGATCGACAAAATGAATGGATGATAAGATATTATTTTGGAAATAAACTGTGCTCCAGCTAAGACCTAGTGTGAATTCAGCTTTGTGAAAATGCAATAGTTCATGACTGGCACTCAAATTCTTCCTCTGCTTGTGGGCCTTTCTAACATGCTATTTCCAGGTATGTAAGTAGAAATCTGGGAGGAACTAGAAGCATCCAATTTGATCAGGAGAATAGTAGATAAAAAAAAAAGTTAGTAATAATGAGGTAGAGTTGAGAGAAGAAGGCTAGGGCAGGAGAGATTCATTTTGAACAACTTAGGACACCATGAGGAAAGTGCAAATTAGATGCAAAATGGAGAGGCAGGAGCTGACATTAATTGCCTGCTCTGTGCCAGTCTCTGTGCCAGGGACTTTCCCTGCATTATCCCTCACAACAGTCCAGCCAGGCGTGTAATATAGCCCCATTTAGCACACGCGGAACCTGGAGGCTCCAAGAGGTCAGTTAATTACCGAGGCTCACGGAGCTGGCAAGGAAGGAAGCCAGGACCCAAACAGAATCTGTTTAACTTCGAAGTCCTCCCTGTTGTCACCGGGTATGATTTGAGGGCAAGCACTTTTGCTACTAGGCAGGCAGAACAACTAAGAGTGGTTCCCATTTTGTACCTTAACATTAGGAAAGTAAGTTCAATGAGAAGTAAGACGTAGGGCTTGCAGACATGTGTAAGCAAGTCCCTAGACAACCACTTACCTGAATATTTTATCAGAGGGCTGCTCTCCCAAAACCAGGTCAAAGCCTCGCTGAAATATTGTATAAGGCCAAGGCCTAAAAGAAGAAACGTTATTCGATTAAAGGCAGCTCAACAAACACTTGCTGAACACCCACTTTGTGCCAGACACCATGCCAGGTTGTACAGACTCAGCGATGAAGAGGAAATATCCCCTGCCCTCTGGAAGCTCACTAATGTGAGCTCACACATGGCCTTGAATCCTAGAACCTGACCAAGATCAGGATCAATGTAAAAGTCCCCGAACCACTAGGAAAATGGAATTTAATAAACATGACAATTGGAACTACATATAGAGTAAAATTATACTAAAGTGGACCTCACATATCCATAATTCATGGTCCTTCCAATGTAGATTTACAGAAACCTAGCTTGACATCACTTAAGAAAGATGGGCAGCATGATTTCTTGAGATAGTTCTGGATTCAGACTCTGTTCCGCTATCGAACCAAGTGTCTCACTTTGAGCAGACCATTCACTTTGCTGAGCCTAATTTCTTCATTTGTAAAAATAGGGTTAATAAACCATAGATGCCTAACAGACCATTAAGAAAAATTAAGCAAACCTCTTAGGCCAAGGACCACAGCTCAGAGTCTTCAACATGTTTCCTTACTCAAAATGACATATGGACTCTGAGTCTTTGATAGGTTCAAAATGTCATCAAACATTTTATGTCACTCAATCAAACAGAAACAATTGAAATGGAATTGGCAAATAATTCATAACTGTCAGTCTTCCAGTGAATGTCTGGGTATTGTCACATGTACTAAAAAGTCAAAAAACTATTTCTTTTAAATAGTGTATATCTTTTAATTAAACCAGATAGTGAAACCCCAAATCATTTACTGATTCAAGCAAGAGTAGTAATACCCAGATCTCATGTTGAGTACTGAGCTACACACTAGATAGATTTAGACCCTACTTTCATGAAACTCAGTCTCCTAACTAACCCAATTATTGATGATTTCACTGTAGACATTCCTTTGGTTTTCAAGGACTACAAAAAGTCAGAAGAATAAGTCATCACTACTATTTGGGGCTAAATCTAATACTAGGAGTTAACACAGAGGTTTTCAGTGCAGGGAGTACTACCCAATGGAGGGCATTTGGGGAAATTTACAGCGGTTCTTGAATGATACAATGATTGGGGTTGGGGGGGCAATACTGCCCCTACCTTTAAAAGGTAAGGCCAGGATGGCTAGAATAGTGCAGTGCTCAGGACGGTTCTGCACAACAAATACTTTCCCCATGTCCTATAAGCTTTTGAATGTCATGGAGGACATTTAGTTAGGTGTTGAAAAACTGCTTCTAATGATCTAAGCCTAGACGCTAACTTCATTTACATATAAGCACAAAGTGGCTTGTACAGTGTCAATATAAGATAAATTTTCTCGGTATATCACTATTATGTAAATTGAGGGAAGATTACACATTGTATAACCACTTTTTACTCTTTTTCTTATTTCAATAGATTTAGGGGATACAAGTGTTTTTTGTTACATGGATGAATTACATAATGCTGAAGTCAGGGCTTTTAATGTACCCATCACCAGAATAGTGTATACTGTACCCAACAGGTAGATTTTTATCCCTCACTCCCCCTCTACCCTTTCCCCTTCTTAGTTTGCAATATGCATTACACCACTTTATATTGATAACATATATACCCCTCATTTAGCTCCCTCTTATAAGTGAGAACACGTGGTATTTATTTTTTCATTCCTGAGATACTTCACCTAGAATAATAGTCTCTAGTTTTATCCAGGTTACTACAAAAGGGATTATTTCATCCCGATTTCTGGCTGAGTAGTAATCCATGGTATATATATTTTCTTTATCTTCTCAACATTTTCTTTATCCACTCCTCAGTTGATGGGCACTTAGGTTGATTCCACATCTTTGCAATTGTGAATTGTGTTGTGATAAACATTCAGATGCAGGTGTCTTTTTTGTAAAATGACTTATTTTCCTTTGGGTAGATACCTAGTAGTAGGACTGCTGGATTGAATGGTAGATCTGCTTCAGTTCTTTGAGAAATCTCTATACTGTTTTCCATAGAGATTGTACTAATTTACATTCCCCCTAATAGTGTATAAGCATTCCCTTTCACCACATCTGAGGCAATGATGGTATAGTAAAATATAATTATTATATATTATTATATATTATATAGTTATTTTATCAGTGTAAATTATTTTTTCTCTTCTAATTACTGTTAAAGCATTACATTGATTTATGGAAATTTTATGTATACAGATTTATTATTTATGTATTTTATTTAAGAATAATAAAAGGGGTTTAAAATATTTGTTATAAAATAGGTGATGGGTCTGATAGGGTTGAGAACCACCAACCTAACCCAGTCAGCTAACCAATTTACTACCCAAAGAGTTGGGGCAGCCACTGGGGCTATGTAAGGGAGTGGGGGGGGGATGAATGTGTTCATTATTTATGCTTACTATTTATAAACACTTTATTCTTGGAATTCAATTTAGAAATACCTTGAGACAACAAGAATCGGCTCCAAAAAGTACCCAAACACTATACTATGAATAACCCCTGCATCAAATAAAAAGCCTCTCACCCCAGGTGTTTTTCATGTTTGTTCTGTTCATTGTAGGTGAACCCACTGAGCGGGGTTTGAATTTGATTCTTTTCTGCTGAACAGTAAGTGGTGGCTTATGGGCAGCAGAAAAATATGTATTGATTCAAGAAAAAGTCTATAAATCTTGAGAAAAAATGTCCCATATGATCCTAGACACCTAGAAAAGGCAGTAAAAAAAGAAGAGGGACATGCAATTTTATTTATCTCTATTTTGGGTAGAATCACATTTTATTTACTACCAGTTTAATAATTTTAAATAGCATACATTTTGCCTTTCAGTCATTTCTAGTACTCAAAACTGATATAATATGTAATTAGAGTTAATTCTTGGCATGGTTCCTAGGTTGTTTGAAGATATATTTTGAGGAGACAAATCTTAAGACTGGCATTGATTACAATGTGAACAATTAACTGTGTAGAATGACACAAACAAACCTGTATTCGAGCCATACTTAATGAATCAATGAGCTTGGAAACATTTATTAAGCACACATCCACATGTTGCTAGGTAGGTTAGGTCAAAGAGAACTCCTGGTCTTGAGGGGCCTGAAAATTAAGTCAACTCAGATCCGAAGGGTGCAAAAGGTGCAGAGATATGCAGCGTAGACCCCATCCTAATCACGTTTAGAGGCAGCAGGGCACAGTGGTTAGGACATGGGGTCTGGAGCCAGCCTGCCTGTTTCAGCTGAACTGCCAATCACTGTGTGCCTGTGGGCAAGTCCCTTAATCATTCTGCATCCCCATGTCCTCATCTGTAAGATGAGACTAATAATAATAATTTTATCATTCCAGCAAAGTTGTTATGAAGAGGAATTAGCCAATATAATTAAAGTGCTCAGAACAGTGCCTGGCGTTTAGTGAGTGCCATGGAGGCATTTACTGAATACATTAAATTTACTAATTGTCCGGATCAAATATAAATACTACAACGAGGAGGGATCTCCAGATTTCGACAGAGGAAGAAATGTCTTGCGCTAAGTTGCAGATGCAACGCCAACCCCAGGCTCTAGCTCAGACCGTAAATGTCTTTGTACTGGCTGGAAAGGAGGCAATGCGAGTGTGCAAAGGCCAAAGCCGGACACCCCGCCTCCCACCCTCCACCAGCGATCACTTTGCAGAGCGACTAACTCCACAGTGTTGACGTTAAACACAAAGAGGGGCCAGAGCCTGTCGTGAATGGCAAGAAGAGTCAGAGAGTTGTAAATTGCAGCGGCAAAGGAATAAAAGAGAATTTACTTATTTTCTTTCCATAGCAAGGGAGGATCTGCCATAGAGATGGGAAATCTTATTTGATTTATTTAGCAAATATTTGTGGAGGCCTATTACGTGTGAACTGCGAAATTAGGCAGCAGAATTGGGCTAAGGAGATTCTTGCCCTCAAAGGAATCTACAGTTTTTCTAAAGAAACACAAATAGGCCCAGACAAATCAATGTGAATGTCAAAAGGGGAGGGGAATGGATTTACAGGAAATAAACTAAGTGGGAAGCTCACCCTTCCTGGTGCAGGGAAGGCGGGGTGTCGGCAGTACGGGGAACGGTGGTTGGGGGAGATTGCCGCGCATGAGTGGAAAAGCCACAGAGGGCCACACAGGAAAAGCCAGGGGCAGAGCAATCCAGAGATGGACCTAAAATGCTGAAAACACTTTGAAACTGACTTACTTGAGAGCAACTGGAAGGGCACAGGCCTCTGTGTTAGGGTTCTTCGAATGCAAGTTAAAGTTCGAAAGATAAACTGGCCTCACCGAAAAGAGGCCCATCGGTGGGTCCTATACACGGGCTTGGAGGGAAATTGCCTGTGGGATGCCTGGAAACAGGGTCTAAAGGACCTCGTGACTGTCCCTCGCCTCTCTTCGCTCTGCTTCTCACACCGCGGGCCTCATTCTCCCAAAACGGCTAGTGTACGCGGGGAGACCTGGCCTCCAGCAGCTCCTGCTCGTGTCCTTGCAGGCTCAGACCACGGAGAAGGCTCTTCCCTCCTCATCAGGGCGAATAATCTGGGGAGGAGCTGCCTGACACACCCCAAGTCAGACAAGCAACCTGGACCACTGTCTGGGGCCGGGGAAGCGGAGGCATCTACATAGACGGAAACTTGTATTCGGTTTTCAGAGTTAGAGCTGGGGAGGAGAGTGAGTGGCAGAGAAAATAATTTCCACCTCAGCTTCTATCTGTTAATACCTGTGGCAGCAAGAGTGCTCCTCCATCAGGGGCAGGTGGCGTTACTGAGCAGACTGTGCCAACACTAGTTTTGCACAAGGGCACTAGGCCGTTGAGGGGCCCATGGACAGGGGTCAGGCCAGACATGGGGCAGGAGGTTGAACCCTGTCATCGGAAGAACCCTCGGTCTCTTGTCTCCACTTTGATATGTGGCCTTCACTATTGTCTTTCCTCTGCACGGGCCAACCCACTCACAACCTCTTAGCTAGAGCTTGTATG